GTGACCCTGGTTAGCAATTTCTTTCCATTTTGCTATAAATTCCTCTTTTTCTAATCTTGTCATTTTTTGCAGCAAGGTGATACACATACGAGAAATCATCTTATTCGCTTGTGATAAGTTACTTTGCTATTTTGAGATTCATTGGTACATCAAATTCGAGGTTAACAAGTTCCAAAAGATAAGCGTTTCTCATTCAAATAAGAGGAATGTTTTGCAAACTAGAAGAACTTGATCCCAGAGATTCGAATGGGAAACAAAGCATTAAAGCATTGAAGAAAGATTGTGCCCTTTCCAACCAACTCCAAGAAGAATTTCAATGGAAAAGTCCTTTCACAAAAGGATATGATGATTATAAAAGGAAAGTTGACAGAACAAGTGTCCTTTCACGTAAACGTATTGTTTTAAACAAGAATGAGGACCAAAGGACATGTTACATCACCAACGGTTTCATTCAAGAGACTTGTGCATTTTTCAAACGTGGAGAGGCAAACCATGGAATGATTCAAGAGAAGTGTTTATTTGGGAGGACAATTAACTAGGAAGTGTTTATTGGCACAACCTATGATCTACACTAACTATTCATTCAGAAATTATTATTTTCTAATGTTGCAGGATGAACAAATAGAGTTGGAAACTTTAAATGAAAGAAAAGGTGTGGATTCAACCATTCCCATATCAAAGAAGCAATAAATGAAGAGGAGTTTCGATTTGAGGATAAATCGCCTAAAAGAATGGGGATGATGTGATCTAGCGTAGCACCAACTTTCTCCATTACTTGCTCGCATCATTTTCATCTTTCATAAGAATCTGATTAGATTAAGTTCTCATCGACAGGTATATTAAAACCCGCATATGACCTCGAGTTCTCCCAGAAAGCTCTATTCAGTGATGGAATCGTTGTCCAAGTGAAAAAAATAGGGGTACGTACGTAATTCATGCTTCATGACATATAAGTTAGAGGTAGAGAAAGACGGGGCCTGGATGAACAAGCATGAGGAACTAGTGTTCTGCTTTGACCATTTTGCTCCCCTTGTCTCGGAGGACGAAATACCAATGCCTTACTGATCGGTATCTCTCTATTGTGTCCCTCTCAATTATTGGCACAAATCTTCTTTCTCTAGGTTAGCTAATCGATGGGGCTCTCTGGTATACATTTTTGGGTCAACATTGAGAAAGAACGATTTCTCAATAGCTAAGATGATAATCAGAATAGTGAGCCTTTTTTTTTTATTTGAGCTCATTACAATCGTATCGAATGATAGGTCATTTGTGATTGGAATAAAGTCAAGTGAATAGTTAATGAGCTTCAATGATAATTCTGACCAAGAAGAGAGAGAACATTGCAGACCTTTGGTCAGAAGTTTCATCGGAGAAAGACGTAAAACCAATAAGAGTCGTCAATGAGGAAAAGGAATTTCAAACGTCATGTCAGTAAAACCTTTGCAACGATGAATTGTTACAATCTCAAAAACTGACAAGTGTCAACGTGGGAGTGGAGTCTGGTAAGGTTTCCAAGATGGATCCCCAAGAGCTACCATTGTCCATTGAGTAAGAAGTAGCACATGGTGAAAATATTAAAGATCTGGACAAAATAGTTTCAGGCACGACGACAGATGTCACAATGGCCCATTATCCTTTAATTAGTTCAAATTTATGCCAATGGACCACTAATCCCCTAAGCCTGGCAGGAATACGAATAACGATAATAGTGAGGCAAGTAGGTTCCATCTCTCAAGTGATTGTGAAAGCCTTGGGTCGGGACCTGGTACCCACTCAATCTTTGTAACACTCTAAACACAAATGGGCCTAAAGTGTCACATTGGGCTGCCGAGACAACATTAAAAATAGTTATTACACATGGTTTAAAACCAAAAATAATACAACTCATAGTTTAACAAACTAAATACATGAGTAAGGTTCAATGAATACATATGCCCACTAAAGTTATAGTACATGACTTTGATTGAGATGCTGAAAGTCTTGTTTCGATGGTCCTCCAGTAACAACCCATTCTGGAAACATGTGAACGAAAACATCCAAACTTTGAGCTTACAAAGTCCAATAGCATAATCGCTAATCTATAACAACATTAAGAGTTCCATAAACTTAAGCTCACTAAAAACATGGTACTAAGCAATCGGTACCTGCATTATCATAACTAAGTGCTACCTACTTAAAGTTCACCAGTTCTACCGCTTAAGTGTAAGTCTCATGCTTTCCTTAGTCTCTTCTAAGGGCCTCGCCATGAGTCGATGTATACTAGGTCTCTAACTATAACACCATTAACTCATACATGTCCCCGAATACGAGTCAAAGATGTCACACGATATTTACAAACATTCTATAGTTGAAAACCAGTACAATTTGACTCCTTTAAACTTTTTCTAATTTAATCCTTAAAATAAAATCATAAAGTCACGTAAAATCATAATATAATATTTAAACATAAAAGTAGATATTAGTTTTAGGCAGTAATTTAGAAGTTTGATACTATTTCGTATCATAAAGTAAACTGCCTAAAAACTACATAATTTAAAAATCTACCAATTAATTTGAAAAACAATTTAATAGAATATTATTCGTCCATACTGTAAATTAATGCTAATACTATCCATATTACAGTAGTTTTAACTTATTATTACAAACCTTTCTATAACCAATCTATCAGAGAAACTAGAACATTTATAATAAACATGCCACTGAACAAGTCAAACTAACATTAAAGGATGTCTTACCGATATTGTATGTTGATATGATTCCACAAAACACTAGTAGAAAAAACCCCTTTAATGACGCGCATTGCGCGTCATCTATGGGTGTGGATGACACACATTTGTCTGTTGTTGAAGCCACCGACATGAATTTAAGATGACGCGCAACTCTGCGTCATAAATTTATGACGCGCATTTATGACACACATTTATGACGCACATTTATGACGCACATTTATGACGTTCATTGAGCATCATTGAAGCCCCCGTCATAAATTAAGATGACACACATTTGTGTGTCATAAATTTATGACACGCATGTATGACTTACATTGCGTGTCATTGAAGCACACGCCATTAAAAAAGATGAGACACATTTGTGTGTCGTGATTGTATTTCGTAAATTATTGTTATATATATATATATATTGTAGATTGATAAATAATCAAACTAACTCACATTTAATGCCTCATAATACTAAATATATATTTCATATTATATATAAGCAATCCATTTGCATACAATATATTCACATTAAGTTGCAAACATAATATCCATCACCTATGGCTATTTGAAAACAAAAAACCAAGAATGTTCTCAGATTATCACAAGAAGATACTAACATATTATAAGATCTTAGATGCAACACCTCTAGATTCTTCTGCAATTTTGAAGTTGCTTCTTCATAGTCGAGAACTCTTAAAACAGGCTGCGAATGAGCATTGACTTCAACTGAACTAGTAGGAACATCAGATGCACTAGCTATTCTCGAACCCTTCCCAAAATTTGAGCTGATCACCTTTGGTTTCCACTCCTTATTTGAACCAACTGCTAATGACATATAGGAATTAATACTTTTCATATATTAATCAAGCATCAACTATCTTCAGGTGAGAACATAAAGTAGTCCAAACATTTGTAAAGAGAAAACTTTTTCATTTATGGTTATCAAGTCATCACCCATCACTAAGTAATATGACAAGAACGAAAAATCAAGTAAATTTGTGGTAAAGGTATCTTAAGCTTTAAAAGCTTTACTTTTCATTTCTCACAGTTACATTGTTATTTAAGGGGATAAGTCTATTTACATATGGGTAATTCACCCATCCTTCTCGGTTATAATGATGATTTTCATTCAAACTTGCTGTTGAATTCTATTTCGCTTAGAGGAAAAGGTGATTGATATCCATTTACCAAAATTAGTTATAGATTCCAATGAGTATAAGGAGTAACATAATGGGTCTGAACTCTGAACATCCTTAATTAATCAAACAAAGGAGGGCATTGAACTAAACTTTCCTGGTCTAAGTGAATTTAGATATATCCCATCTCTAACAAATGACGCACATATCTTGATATCTAGGTTAGATCGAGACAACTTAAGCATCCATGTACAGTCCAGCAAAAAGCCAAAAATCAGCTTTTTTTTTTGTGTATCAAAAGGATTATAGCACAAAAATCCACAATGTTTCTCTGGATTTACCCAATTAAGCCATAAAACCAATAAAACACCATCTAAGTTTCATCAGCAATTACCAATATATAGAAAAGTTACAAAACATCATTGATTTAGAAACTGAAAAGTTAAATAATAATCCATTCTACCTGTAGGTTTCTTTGATTTGGATCCAATAAATCTGTTATTTGCTCATTGTATATCTGCAAAAGAAAATTGAAAATGAAGTGATAAGGAACAAGAATAGTACAATACTAAGCAGTCCAATTATGTCAAAACTAAGAATCAAAATAATTCAATTATGTTTATCAGCATGCTTAATTCACAACTTCTAAACGGGAAATATAGTACAACTCAAATACCCACCTTGGCACATAGAACTCCAATTACAATCCCTCTAAGGTGGGAAAGACGGACAATAATGCATAAAGTATGGAAACAGGAATTACTCAATCGCACTGATTTAGCAAATGAGATTACTAAATTACATATCGATTAACTGGTAGCCACAGAAGTCACATATAAGTTAAATGTCCTCGGGAATAGACTATTAATAGTAATTTAACTTTGAATAGGCTTGCGATGCTATATGCGTGAAAAATAGAATACACAAAGGATATCATAAAGGCAAAAACAAGAAATTCATAGATCAGTTAAAAGCATAGCAGCAGAGCCCCAAACAAAGGGAACTAATTAACAACACATAAAATATTAGGAACAAAAGGCATATTGACAGTGGAACTTACATTTTATTAAAGAACGTTTCCAATAATACTGAGAATTAAGCTTATTGATTACAAATAATAATGCATTAATGCTTACCTTTGGGACAGAAACTTCCCATGTTGCCACTGCCTTCAAGTCTAAAAATAAAATTAACAACCAAAAAATTCAATGAGAATAGACTCTAACCTATTGACTAGAGAGCCACTGACTAATAAAAACTAATTTACCATGGTTGCAAAAGTCAATGCCAGGGAGAAGACCCTCCACCCAGACAGTTTCTTCTTGTTTCGATGTGGAAGTTGCTCCATTAACTTTGTTATCGTTCTCATGACCCTCAAATCCTGATATAAACCCAAAATAAATAAAAATCTTTAACCTCAGCTCCATGTTAATACAGTAAACTTTCACCTGTGAAAGCAAATAAGAGGAAAGATCCAGGCACAAAAGTGGTAAGAACTAAAGTGTAACCTCACTTTTTCTATCAATTTCATTAACAGGCTCTCCACTTAGTCCACTATGACTGATGGTCACCTCAGAACTTCTTTCAACTGGACAGGTTGTCTCGGTATCTTCTTGAATTTGGGGAAATACATAAGAATGTGGAAGAGGAAGGTTCAGAGCACGAGACCAAAATATAGAATTCGCCCTAGCATTACAGAAATCACGCAATATTAACCACCAAAGTTCGAAGTGCAAGGAATATCATCATATCATAGTCAATCTCCTTCATTGTCCCCACCCCATTTTGAGAGAGAATAAGAAAGAGTTCATTTTGAGGAGATCCATACCAAAGGAAATATTCAAAGCATACCTCACTGCAAAAGAAGCATTAACAATAATTCATAATTGGGAAAAAGGAAAATAAACACACTTGATTCCTACTTTATTTGATGTAATTAATACCGACCTTTCTGAAACTCCATCAAGAGCAAGAAGTTTCTTCACCAAACCCTTCACTTTATCTTCGTACACAGAAATCAAATCCTTTTTCTATAAAACAATTACACTAACTTTCATCATCATGGGTAGTCAAATTACATGCATTTCATCTTCAAGAGAAACATTAAATTGTATGCTTATATTTACCCGCAATTCAGTTGCTCTATACAAGATTGTTCCTCTAAATTCCAGCATCTCATCATCGGTAAACCATAACGGATTCCCAAAAGTGGTGGGAAGCATATCAAGATACCTGAACCAGTCTTTAAATCCACATAAATAATAAATAAAAGAAAACTAGAAGAAAACAATCAAATATGTTAAATACATACGGTTTCCACGAAGAATTCTTTCGGAGACGTTCCACAGTAAGAAATAAAATCATTAAAAACCTATCATCAACTTCTCTTTCTTGAAACATCGCTCTACACTCTGCTCTAATTAAAGGATCTTGTAAATTTATCAAATTCAACTTTGTATTTTGTCAGGTCTACTTGGACTAAATAGCTCTAATGAACAATTCGAAAAATTTAATAGAAAATCACACAGTAGCAACTATAAACGCAGTATGGACAGAGGACTTAATGAAATGCTCTATTTGAACCAGAGATGTTACCAGTTCGACAGTGTTTCTATCATACTCCCAAGTTGTCCTGGTCTCAAATCCCTCCCAGCAGCAAATTGGATCTTCCAGAACAAATATTAAAGATTTTAATTAGTGAAGAAAAATAAATTTAAAGGAAAATTCTTGAGAGGAAAGGACAATATACCTCAAAACATCTTCGCAGCTGATCCAACTTTCCTCTGACTATACCCTAACAAAAAGGTTGGGAAAAATGAACAAAAATCAGCACACTTTCAGTATATTTGTGTAACAACCCAGAAAATTGAGAATAATATTAAATTGAAATTTAAGGATTAATGGTGTAATTGGTGAAAATTATGGACTAAATTGAAAGATTTTAAAACTTGGAGCTTGTTTTGGAGTTAAAGAAAATTCAGGGACTAAGCCCTAAATTTACCCAATAAAATTAGGTAAGTTTGGTTTTATATGATATATACGTGGGGTGGTTTTCTGTTTCAAAACAGAAAACCACTCCCCAAATCCCCTTTCCCCTACGTCGGTTTCCGACCTTGATTCCGGCGCCGTCCGAGTTCCGATCGTCGTTTTGTAACTACCGTTATGCTCATCATCGAGCGAGGAACAAATCCTTCAAATTAATTGAAGCGAAACGCTGCCAAACGTCGGGAATTTTCAGTCAAAGTCTCGACGTTTTTATTAGCTCTATCGTCGGGAAAATCTTAAATTCACCGCCGATCGTTGTCCGTTTACGACACCTCTTGCACCATCGTGTTCCTTGTGCCGTTTCGAGTCCGTCGGTGTCAACCTTGTTCGCCGTCGACGGCGGCGCGTGAGGAGGTGGAGCAGTCAAAGTTTCGGCCGAGTTGAAATCGAGCTCTCCGCCATTCAAAAATTTGAACCGATCGTTGTAAGTATCTCGAAATCGCTCAAAATAATTTTTAGGAATTTTTCCGGGAATTTTCCGACACCGTAGCACTGTTCACGCGCCGCACGCGCCGCCGCAGGGAGAGTGAGCTGCTGGAAAACCGGTTTGACCAGTTTTGAACCGGTTTGACCGGTCTGACCCGACCCAACCCGACTATTGACCCGACCCGACCGTTGACCGTTGACTGTTGACCGTTGACTTCCTTTGACCAAAACTTAAAATGGCTTTGACCGAGCATTAAACGACCGTTAATCTTTTCCGAGTATACCTATCATGATAGTTTTCGACGTGCCGAATCCATTTCTGCTGTCCGTTTCGTCAAATTCGAACCCGAAGGCCTCCAAGACTTTGACTTTGACCAAGAATTTGAATTTTTAGAAAGTCATACTTTATGTTTTTCGACGTCCTGATTCTGATTCCACAATCCGTTTGGCCAAATTCAGACTCGAAATACCCCAAATTGATAGTCAAACCCGAAAAATGCTTATATACTTAAGAATTCTAGCTTTGAATAATTAAAAAAGATTTGGGGCGGATTAATTATTATTGTTTGAAGGTACAAGAGACTCTCCGGATCGTTCGACAGCTCGACCCATCTCTTCTAGATCAGTTAAACCACGTGTGCCAGTATTCACTCGTAAGACCCGTAAATTTTATGATTTTAGAGATCTATTTATATTACTCATAAGTAATATAGTGTTATTGTAAAATAGGTTCGAAAACTGTAGCAGAGCGTGGTGAAACCAGCAATCAGTAGATTTGCTATTTGAACCTATTGTCGAGGTGTGTTCCCTACTTATTACTGAACTGTTTATTGGTTTTAATATGTGGTACACGAATTCATTGGTTATTGTTTTATATATGCACCAACTTAATGTGACAATTTACGGAATATGGCTGCTGTTTAATTTTTGTTTTGAAATGGTATATGATTACCATGTTTTTGGATTTATGGAATTTATGTCACGGTGCAATTGAATTTGGAAATTGAATTACGATGGAATAGCTCTGATCAAGCTAACTGGGCCTAATGTGACTCTTGAGGGCCCCAAGATGTTTCATTAGGTTGGCTTTCCTTTGCTGTGTGCTTAGGGTAAGCTATATGGACTTATTGACTTGGGCTTTAGGATACAAGCTTCATAGCTTATCCTTAAGTCGGCTTTCTTTTTGCTATGTGCATAAAGTAAGCTATATGGAAAATAATTTTGGGAACTACTGATGGTGTACCAGAAAAGGGTTTAAACTATGATTTTTAAAAGTTAAACTCTTTTACGAATTTGTGAGATTTACTGGACTACGATTTGTACCTATTGTGATTTTATGGAATTATTGGGACACACTGAGCCTAGCTCACCTTTCGAAAATGTTTTCCCCCTTTCAGATACTGTTGGTTAGATACCTCGGTTCGAGCACTTGGAGGATCAACATATCTCTTGAAGTAAATCATATTGTAATATTTTTATCTTGCAAGTTGACTTTATTTTGGGGACATGGACCTTATTTTAAAATATCAGATTTTATAATGATGACTCTTTTGCTATTACTGTTCGGTTTATTGTGATTTTGAATTTGAAGACATGTTTTAAATTAAATTATTACTTATTGGTACTATATTTACGAGTTGGATTTTGATAGTATAATTTGTTTATAACTTCATGTTATTAATAAGGTGATTTTATATTGATGGAATAATGGTTTCGGAAAATGTCTTTAATAATCATAATGTGATCCACTAGACTTAGTCAAAACGCATAGGCCGGGTCTAGGGGGTTACATTTATTGGTATCAGAGCTTTTGGTTTTTAACCCTCGGACTGTGTATGAGTCCACTTTGAAAATAAGGTTTTGAAATATTTTGCAAAACAAGTTACTAAGGCCATGTCACAAAGTTATTAAGATTTTAACAGTGTTCGAGACTCTAAGTGCTTATCTAACCCTAAGTTTTATCTTCGGTGGTAAACTTAAGATCCATCAAAATGAGTGCTAGATGTGGTCGTCGAACTAGCCATGAACGAGGGCGGGTGGTTAGATTTGCATAACCGATTGATGAGATACGAGTAGATTCCCCACCTTCGATAGGTGATCCTGCTCATACAACCCCAACGAATATGCCATCTACCGATGGTATAGGCATGACTACACCCATCATAGGAGCGACCGATATTGAGTCAGAGTCTACTGGAGTTGCATTGGATGAGAATTTTAGTAGACAGTTTCTGCAGTTAATTCAGGGAGCAGTCAGAGCTACTGGTGTTGTATCTGAGGTTTCTATTTCACAGACGTTGATTGCCAATGGAGTTAGAACTTTTAGGGGACAGATTGGTGGAGCTCCTACTGAAGCTGAGGATTGGCTCCAGGATACAGAGAGACGCATGGGTCAGTTGGGTTTGGACTCAACTAAGAGATATATGGGTGTTGTAGCAATGTTAGATGGTAATGCCTACACTTGGTGGGAGTCAGTGACCAGTAGTGTTGCTACCGATCGTTTGACCTGGAATTTCTTTAAGGATTACTTTCGGAGTCATTTTTTGGGAGAGCGCTACTTAGCTCAGAGACGTCAACAGTTTCAAGACCTGGTACAGGGAGACATGACTATTTCCGAGTATGAGATCGAGTTCTTGAAGTTGCTGAAGTATGGATTCAGTATGGTACCCACTGAGAGAGATCGATGTCGTAAATTTGCCCTTGGACTCAGATACGAGCTGCGTAGGCAAGTTGTAGCCCATCAGGATGAGATATTTGATGTGCTGGTGGGCAGAGCCAAAGATACTGAAGAGCTGAAGGTTTTAGCTTCTGGTAGAGAGCATGTTGATCTGGAACGATCTAAGAAATCTTAGGGCCCTACAGAATCATCCGCACAGTCTGGTAAGAGGACTCGTACTTTTGCTCTCAGAGAAGCAATACACATTTCAGGCCTGCAACATCCTCACCATTATCTGTCAGTCGAGGCGGTTTATTGTCGTATTATAATGGGCCCCTTTGTGAATATTGTGGTAAATAGCACACAGGAGAGTGTCGTAAGAATATGGGTCTTTGCTATCAGTGTGGATCTAGTGGTCATTATCGGAGGGATTCTCCTTAGCTAGCTTCGTTTGAGCAGACCACTATTCATACTCCTGTGCGTTCTTAGACTATAGTACAGACTCCAGTTAGAGATCGTAGTCAAGCAAAGGCTTGTGGTTCAGCGTCCAGGACAGACAGTAGAGCCCGACCTCAACAAAATAGAGGGCCAATAGTTTATGAGGCTAGACAACCAGCTTTGGTTTATGCCACTAGACGTCGTGATGATAGAGATGAGCCTGAGGTTATTGCAGGTACATTTACTATTTATTCCATTCCATACTTTGTATTATTGGACAATGGCTCCACCCACTTCTATGTATCGAGCTCTGTATCTCGAAACTTTCAGATTCTGATCGAGAACACTGATAATAATGTTACGGTTACGAGTCTAGTAGGACAGGCGATATTAGTGAATAAGGTATTTCGGCGTTGTCATCTGGAGGTTCATGGAGAAATTTTTCTCGCTGATCTTATGGAGCTTCCTTTAGAGGAGTTTGACCTAATTCTTGGGATGGATTGGTTGACTAAACACAAGGTAAATCTGGATTGCGAATACAAGAGAGCTACTCTGAAAACTTCTGATGGTCGGATCGTTGTGTTAATTGGTGAACGTCGCAGATATCTCTCCAATACAGTTTCAGCGATGGAAATTGATCGTATGATTCGGAATGGATATGAGACTTTCATTGCTTGTATTTTGAACACCAAAGGTGCATTGTCCACGATCGAGGAGATCCATACAGTTAGCGAGTTTCCTGATGTTTTTTCGGAGGAGTTGCCTGGGTTACCTCCTGATAGAGAGGTAGAGTTCGAGATTGAGACTTACCCGGTATCTTCACCTATTTCTATGGCACCTTATCGCATGGCTACAAAGGAACTTAATGTGTTGAAGGTCCAATTGCAAGAATTATTCGATAGAGGATTATTCGGCATAGTACCTCACCTTGGGGAGCTCCAGTTCTGTTCGTGAAAAAGAAGGATGGGTCGCTAAGGCTATGTATTGACTATCAGAAATTGAACAAGATGACGGTCAAGAATAAATACCCACTACCCAAGATTGATGACTTAATTGATCAACTGCGATGAGCTACAGTATTCTCTAAGATTGATCTTCGTTCGGGGTATTATCAATTGAAAGTTAAAGGATCTGATGTTGCAAAAATGTTCATTCGCACTAGATATGGTCATTATGAATTCTTGGTTATACCTTTTTGGTTTGAAGAACGCTCCTGCAGCTTTCATGGATTTGATGAATCGGGTGTTCTGACCATATTTGGATCAATTTGTGGTGGTCTTCATTGACGATATTCTGATCTATTCTCGTACTGAGGCAGAGCATGACGGGCATTTGAAGATCGTTCTGCGGACTTTGAGAGAGCATCGTCTATATGCCAAACTAAGCAAGTGTGAGTTTTGGCTTCAAGAAGTGTCATTTCTGGGGTATATTATTTCTGCGCGAGGTGTTCAGGTTGATCTAAGCAAGATCGAGGCTATTGTGAATTGGAAACGACCCAAGAACATCTCTGAGATTCGCAGTTTCTTGGGCTTGGCTGGTTATTATAGACGTTTTTGTCGAGGGCTTCTCGATCATTGCTTATCCTTTGACAAAGTTGTTAAGGAAGAATGAGTTGTTTGATTGGGGCGAGGCACAACAGGAGAGCTTTGAGAAATTAAAGGTGGTTTTGACTAAAGCACCAGTGTTGATTCAACTAGAGTCCGAGAAGGATTTTACAGTGTATAGTGATGCGTCACATTCAGGACTTGGTTGTGTTCTAATGCAGAAAGGTAAGGTGGTGGCTTATGCAACCCGTCAGCTGCGACCGTATGAGTGTAATTATCCTACTCACGATTTGGAGTTAGTAGCAGTGATTTTTGCCTTAAAGATTTGGAGACACTATCTTTATGGAGAGAAGTGTTACATTTTCACGGATCATAAGAGTTTAAAGTATCTTTTGACCCAGAAGGAGCTTAATCTAGGACAGCGTCGCTGGCTAGAGCTTCTAAAGGATTATGATTGTGTGATGGATTATCACCCTGGTAAAGCTAACATTGTAGCGGATGCTTTGAGTCGAAAGGTGGTATCGGAGTTGAGATCTTTAATGGCCAGGATGAATTTATATGATGATGGCACTTTGTTAGCAGAATTGCAAGTTAAGGCAGAACATCAACATCCATCAGGTTTGTTACAGCCTATTAAGATTCCTGAATGAAATGGGAGTGTATTGCTATGGATTTTGTTACTGGCTTACCTATGACTTAAAAAAAAAAAGATTCAGTTTGGGTAATTGTTGACAGACTTACAAAGTCAGCTCACTTCATTCCTGTGCTGGTAAATTATACTTTGGACAAGCTGGCGAGTTTGAATACTTCAGAGATTGTCAGATTGCATGGTGTTCCGTTGTCTATTATTTCTGATCGAGATCCGAGATTTACTTCGAGATTCTGGAAGGCGCTACATACGGCTTTGGGAACAAGATTAGATTATAGTATATCATTTCATCCACAAACTGATGATCAATCTAAGAGAGTGATTCAGATTCTGGAGGATATGTTGCGGGGTTACGTAATTGATTTTCATGGTAGTTGGGAGAACTTTTTGCCGTTAGTTGAATTTGCTTACAGTAACAGTTATCAGACCATCATTCGTATGTCACCCTATGAAGCACTCTATGGGCGTAAATGTCACACTCTGATCTGTTGGACTGAGTTGCGTGATAGGAAGACGTTGGGACCTGAGTTAGTACGAGAGACGGAGGACAAAGTCAGATTGATCCGTGACCGTCTGCAAGAGGCATTTGATAGGCAGAAGTCTTATGCAGATCAGAGAAGGAAAGATATACAATTTGAGGTTGGTGATCAAGTCTTTTGAAAAGTTTCACTCTGGAAGAAAGTATTGAGATTCGGGCATAAGGGTAAATTGGGTCCAAGATTTATTGGACCATTTCGTATCTTGAAGAGGGTAGGACCTGTTACATATCAGCTTGAGTTGTTTTCTGAGCTCAGTCGTATTCATGATGTTTTTCATGTGTCTATGTTAAGGTGATACCGTCCAGATTCAGATCACATCATTCAAGTTGAGGATGTAGAGCTGAGACCTGATTTTTCATATGAGGAGAAGCCCATTTAGATCTTAGAAAGAGATGAGCGAGTTCTTCGGAATAGGCGTATTCCAATGGTCAAAGTACAATGGAGTAATTGAGGCCCCTTAGAAGCTACATGGGAGACATTGGAGTCGATGGAAACTCAATTTCCTCATCTATTTTCATAAGGTAAATTTCGAGGACAAAATTTCTTGTAGAGGGGGAGAATTGTAACAACCCAGAAAATTGAGAATAATATTAATTTGAAATTTAAGGATTAATGGTGTAATTGGTGAAAATTAGGGACTAAATTGAAAGATTTTAAAACTTGGAGCTTGTTTTGGAGTTAAAGAAAATTCAGGGACTAAGCCCTGAATTTACCCAATAAAATTAGGTAAGTTTGGTTTTATATGATATATATACGTGGGGTGGTTTTCTGTTTCAAAACAGAAAACCACTCCCCAAATCCCCTTTCCCCTATGTCGGTTTCCGACCTTGGTTCCGGCGCCGTCCGAGTTCCGATCGTCGTTTTGTAACTACCGTTGTGTTCATCATCGAGCGAGGAACAAATCCTTCAAATTAATTGAAGCGAAACGTTGCCAAACGTCGGGAATTTTCAGTCAAAGTCTCGACGTTTTTATTAGCTCTATCACCGGGAAAATCTTAAATTCACCGCCGATCGTTGCTCCGTTTACGACACCTCCTGCACCATCGTGTTCCTTGTGCCGTTTTGAGTCCTTCGGTGTCAACCTTGTTCGCCGTCGACGGCGGCGCGTGAGGAGGTGGAGCAGTCAAAGTTTCGGCCGAGTTGAAATCGAGCTCTCCGCCGTTCAAAAATTTGAACCGATCGTTGTAAGTATCTCGAAATCATTCAAAATAATTTTTAGGAATTTTTCCAGGAATTTTCCGACACCGTAGCGCTGTTCACGCGCCGCACGCGCCGCCGCAGGGAGAGTGAGCTGCTGGAAAATCGGTTTGACCGGTCTGACCCAACCCGACCCTACCGACCCGACCCGACCCGACTGTTGACCCGACCCGACCGTTGACTATTGACCGTTGACTTCCTTTGACCAAAACTTAAAATGGCTTTGACCGAGCATTAAACGACCATTAATCTTTTCCGAGTATACCTATCCTGATAGTTTTTGACGTGCCGAATCCATTTCCGCTGTCCGTTTCGTCAAATTCAAACCCGAAGGCCTCCAAATCGATGGTCAAAGTGGTTTACTTTGATTTTGACCAAGAATTTGAATTTTCGGAAAGTCATACTTAATGTTTTTCGACGTCCTAATTCCGATTCCGCAATCCGTTTGGCCAAATTCAGACTCGAAATACCCCAAATTGATAGTCAAACCTGAAAAATGCTTATATACTTAAGAATTCTAGCTTTGAACAATTAAATAAGATTTGGGGCGGATTAATTATTATTGTTTGAAGGTACAAGAGACTCTCCCGATCGTTCGACAGCTCGACCCATCTCTTCTAGATCAGTTAAACCACGTGTGCCAGTATGCACCTGTAAGACCCGTAAATTTTATGATTTTAGAGATCTATTTATATTACTCATAAGTAATATAGTGTTATTGTAAAATAGGTTCGAAAACTGTAGCAGAGCGTGGTGAAACCAGCAATCAATAGATTTGCTATTTGAACCTATTGTCGAGGTGTGTTCCCTACTTATTACTGAACTGTTTATTGGTTTTAATATGTGGTACACGAATTCATTGGTTATTGTTTTATGGATGCACCAACTTAATGTGACAATTTATGGAATATGGCTGCTGTTTAATTTTTGTTTTGAAATGGTATATGATTACCATGTTTTTGGATTTATGGAATTTATGTCACGGTGCAATTGAATTTGGAAATTGAATTACGATGGAATAGCTCTAATCAAGCTAACTGGGCCTAATGTGACTCTTGAGGGCCCCAAGATGTTTCATTAGGTCGGCTTTCCTTTGTTGTGTGCTTAGGGTAAGCTATATGGACTTATTGACTTGGGCTTAAGGATACAAGCTTCATAGCTTATCCTTAAGTCGGCTTTCTTTTTGCTATGTGCATAAAGTAAGCTATATGAAAAATAATTTTGGGAACTACTGATGGTGTACCAGAAAATGGTTTAAACTATGATTTTCAAAAGTTAAACTCTTTTACGAATTTGTGAGATTTACTGGACTACGATTTGTACCTATTGTGATTTTATGGAATTATTGGGACACACTGAGCCTAGCTCACCTTTCGAAAATGTTTTCCCCCTTTCAGATACTGTTGGTTAGATACCTCGGTTCGAGCACTTGGAGGATCAACATATCTCTTGAAGTAAATCAGATTGTAATGTTTTTATCTTACAAGTTGACTTTATTTTGGGGACATGGACCTTATTTTAAAATATCGGATTTTATAATGATGACTCTTTTGCTATTACTGTTCGGTTTATTGTGATTTTGAATTTGAAGACATGTTTTAAATTAAATTATTACTTATTGGTACTATATTTACGAGTTGGATTTTGATAGTATAATTTGTTTATAACTTCATGTTATTAATAAGGTGATTTTATATTGATGGAATAATGGTTTCAGAAAATGTCTTTAATAATCATAATGTGATCCACTAGACTTAGTCGAAACGCATAGGCCGAGTCTAGGGGGTTACAATTTGACCACCAAAGGAAAGTTTAAATAGCTGTACAAATAGCAGTGAACAATGCAGGGCCACTCTAAAAGTTAACCGTCCCAAAAAAACAAATATGAATGCAGAAACAACTGCAAAGTTCTTTCACATGCAACACATTGCATAAAAATCATACATTGGTTCCCAGGGCCTTTCAAGGCCGTTCCAGTAGCTAAAACATTTCATAATGGAGTAAATCCTAGGATAAAAATTAATAGAGAATTAATCTGGGAGTCTACCCACCGCATACATGCACTCATTGATAAGAAAATCTTCAAGTTCACGAACATTGGTGACATCTAACTACAACATTAGTTGATCATATGGTAATACCTGGTCAAGATATTTAAATGGTAAATGAACTTGATGCAACCAACATTTACAACCTATAGTGCCATTGTCAGACAAAGGGTATATCCATTTCAGTTAGAAAGTGGAATAAAACAATTCAGACAGGCATTACAATTTTTCAAGATATTCTAAAGACTTGGTTTCTTCACGTTACGAAGTCAAAGTGGCACGTTCAATGAATATCAAAATAACTATAACAACTACAATGGAACGAGGCTGGAAACTATAGCATATTTAGATGATCAAATGCCCTCTTAACTTAACTATAATACCTTGTTCGTCTCAGCAAGTGTAAGGACAGTGAGTTGCTTTAACTTGAGAACTAGATCAGGGACCAGTTGAGGAAGGCTGCCACTATTGCCTAATCAAATAGTTTAAGCAGCCAGAGTTAGTCACATTATGATGTGAATAATAACTATAATAACAATCAAAGACATAAATAATCAAGTGGATTAATTAAGTGAAGGGTAACATTTAGAAGAGTAAAACTGGTAATCTTGAAGAGATTTACACGGTAGTGACAAATGTTTACTACTAATGATCTTCAAATTATCTCGAATAGAAAAAATACGGGTACAAGTGAAACAAGTGTATTGAAAACATCACAAACTTGTCACAAACAATAAAACACAGGTTTTCCAGCTTACTCTTGTAATCGCTCCATGTGCCATAGGCAAACAACCGAAGCACCTCCAGGTACACCGAGTTTTCAGTTCCGTCAAGCTGCAAAGGTATATAGGTTTCTTATAAATTACAAGTAAACTAAAGCATCAAACAGAAAGTGAAGCAATGAATAAAACTAAAACACCATACTATATTGACAGAAAAAGAAACAGGAAGAAATGTTATTAAGCTATGTGCAGCAAAAAATAACTGATGATGACTTTTATTTCTCAGATTGAGGAAAGAAGGGGAAAGAAAATAAAAGAAACTGATAACGGAATATGTCTTTACCTCAGCGACGGTAGGCACGATAAGAATCTCAGAGAAGGCGAAGAGTGAAGGATGAGACGTCGCTTCGACGATAACAGAAACAAGGGTCGTCCCCTTCTGAGCCGACGATTGCTTAACGAAGTGATCGATGAACTCGACTTGCTTTTGCTCGATATCCATCTTAAAAACTCGAACCCCCGGCCAAAAACCAGGAGGCGGGAAAAGAAAAAGGAAATGGAAATAATTTGAAGAATGTTACTGAAAACAAAACAAAAAAAACACGGAGAGAGAAGCTTTCAGGAAAATAAAGAAAGCAAGTTAGGGTTTTGGTGTTGGAGAGAAAATGAGAGAATGAAAGAAGTGCAAAACATTAGGCTTGAACTGATTATGAGGGGAAGAAGCGGGGAATGATGAAAATAATGAGGGGAAATTAAAAGACGACTTTTACAGATGACACATAATTAAAAAGTGTATTCTGTGTTTTTTTAAACTTTTTGGATTATGACTATTAAATATGACACACATTATTGTAAGTCATAAATCGTTCAGATTTTAAAAAACATGACATTTTTTTATGACACACATGTTTTGCAAGTCATAAATTAGCATGTGTCATCGTTCATGTGTCATTAAAGGTATATTTTCTTGTTGTGAAAGCAATGCTCGATATTTTCCTTGCTCCGCAACTTTATCCTATTTAACATACACGTGAAACATTCACATGCTATGTTTCCACTAAGTGAGGCATATAAACTAAAGTAATGCATTTCAATACATGAAATATAGCTATTCAATTTTATAAATTTGTCGTATAAAAACATATGGACATTTAAATATGACATTTCAAACCTTTTTCTTCATACTGAAATCGTAACCTGAAAAATATTAGCTTTCTTTCAAATCATATAACATATATAGTCACTTTATCACATAAAAGGCATAACATGCCAAAATCATCAAACATGGTAAACTATTTGCTTTCATCTCAATTTAAATAACTTATACTATTCACTTATTTAGATCATATAACCCACACTTTTCCATTTTAGATAAGCATAACCCAATGTACGTTGAATAAAAATGCAAGGTATGTGACTCAGACGAGTGTGCGCAACATGGACTCTAGGTGTCTCATCAATAACCAATAATATGCACTCTAAGTGCCTCAAATAATTTGCATCAATGGTGCCACATACAATGTACACAAATGTACCAATTTAGTATTCAGGAATCATTCCACCTCATGGCATGCCAATTATACCTACAACTCTCAATGCACATACAATGAGCTTTTATGTCATAATCATATCTCATTTATATATCCAATGTATATATATATATATATATATATATATATATATATATATATCAACATATTCAATTATCCTTTATCAAAAGTCATAGCATTAGGCAGTTCATATCCGAAATCATCGATAATCATCTCTGAGATTGGCCCATCGTAAGTTATCGACTCAAAAATATTTTTAGAAACTATTCAAAACATCCTTTAGTAATATATCATATAAAAATGTATAGAGTAATTTATACTCATATTATCTAAATATCATTTTATAAACATTATAAAAATAAATCATAATATATTTTTTTAATACTTTTCTTTCCAAATTATTCGAGATTGGCCCATCGCAAGTTATCCTCATATCATATTTGATAGTATAAAAATAATAATACACTCATCTGATGTCTCACTAGTATGCCTTATTGTAACCACTAAAGTCACTCTCGAACCCTGTCTTTTCCTTTAATCTCAATATTGATCACAATCTACTCACAAAATAATTATCTGACATAAAAATTTCAAAGATATGTTAGTATCTAACTAACTCATTAAACACGTATTCGTATACAATCTAAAAAGTACGATAAGTAAATATTTGATACTAATTTCTATAACTAAATCAATTATATCAACTCTTGCATAAATAATCTTCCTAGCCCTTAAAAATTAAAAATTATCAACCTTAAATCACTTAACTTTTCATAATTTAACATTTAACCCAACATTACACATTTCTTCAAATTAAACCCCCATATTTCAAAACTTGTCAACTTGGTCCTTACTATTCACTTTATCCGTTACAATCGTCATACTCAACCAATTTCACAATACTTTCAGATCACCAACAACTTTCCAAAAACTTGCAATTTAATCCCTAGGAATCGTTCAAGTTCCAAATCAACCAAATTCAACATTTCATCATTCCAACAATAATTTTCAGTATAGTACCTTAATTTTTCAACATTTACATAACAATCCTTCAATTTCTCAAAACTTGTAAAAAGGCCCTCTTAGCTTAACATTGATCAAAAACTTAATTCATACCTTATGGAATCATCTTTCTATCTAATATAAACCCAAAATAAATTTTTACACACATTTTCCTAAATGTTTTTATCAATGGCTGAAACTTTTGATATTCTCCCCTAATGGTCTCCAACTTTGATTCAAGCTTAATTCAATCACATATAACCTATTTCCATTCAATTATAATCACTTCTATATAAAAAAATAATCAAATTCAACACATTTCTATAAGAATCTTGCATGGCCAAAAATATTCAATAAAGTCCCCGTATGATTTTTACTCCACTTTTAAGCTTGTATATGATTTCATAACACTCATAGGATCAAAATATAACTTTATTTCATTGATTTATCACTTCTCCCTCATCCACCTTAAAAACCCATTTCACTCTTTATGCATGAAATCATGAAAAAACTTATACCAAAAGAAAGAGAATTTAGTTGGGAAATATTCTTATTTCACACTTTAGTCCTAATTCTAATTAAAATATCTGAAAAAATTGAAAACAAAGTTTTCTCACATTTTTCTATGGAGTACACTGCTGATCACGGAAGAAGAAAAGAGTTTTCTTCAAATTTATCCCAAAATATATCCTTAAAAATACATTAAAATGAATTTAAATTCAATTTGGTCCAAATGTCCAATTTGCCATTAATGAATCCTAGTATTTACCCCATGCCATCATTTTATCTCCGTTTGAATAACATTAAAAAAATATAAAAATCTCCTTTACTAATTTCTATCCTTGTTGTTCAAATTTTCCAAAAAATAAATTTAGTAACTAAATTTCACAATTCCGCTTTAACATGGAAATTCCTCTAAATTCCATTGATCCACATCAAATTTTACTGATTAAAAATATCAATAAAATATTTTTAACCTCAAAATACCTTTCTTCAAATTTTTGTAAACTTCTGGTTCGATCCAGTTATCCGAATATTTTACCTTTATCGCTTAATAACTATTTTCTACAAATCCCGAATCAAAATTTTGATTCCCACTAAAAAAAAAATTCACAATAAAATATTCCTTTATGAGCCAAAATGTATAACTTTTTTAAATTACCCTAAAGTTTTCCAAGTTTATACTTTAGCCACCAAACTTCCAAATTTTATATTTTGCTCACTAGCCAAAATTTGGCGTTTTACACTAACCTCAGTATCATCTTATAATGTATCATCATGAAGCACACAATGATAGTACATGGTATTACAAAGTCGTCTAGTACCATCACACAAAGGTAGGCATCATGGTGTTGTCGGAGGGTCACTTAGCGTCTTATGACTCACAACCCTCTATCATACCAAAGGAAGCCTAAATAAGACCTGGGTCACTTAGCATAGGAATATTAATCTAGAAAGGCCCTATTTCCTAGTACCTATAATGCCTCTAGGTCACATAGTATCGGAGACTACGTCCTGCTAGGCTACTCCTCAAAGTACTCGTAAAATCTCTAGGTTACAAAGCATTAGAGCCTACTTCTAACTAGTGTCTAATGTGTTGTGGAACTAATTTGGATATATCTTAATATTTCTTAGACAATTGGACGATTGTCACTCACACACACAAGTAACTCAGGTGTCCTCATCATTTTTCGAGTGAAAAACAAATGCATAAGTCTTGTGAAATCTTACATCATAAGGTTCTTATGATTAGCACACAATTTAGGTGAGGTTATTCCCCCTTCACCCAATACTATATCACGCGTCCACTCATCTATAATGTTATGGAAATGTTTATTAGTCTATTATTTATGATAATTCGTTAAAGACTATATTCTAGTCATTAACACTTAAAGGGTATCTTAATCATTTCTATCCCTAAATAGATATCTAAGTGTTTCATGGTTTCATGACATTTATTGTGCTTATTGTTCACTGGTTGTATCACTAGTTAGCCCGATACTTGACTCGGGTTCATTATTGGGTAGTGACTCTCCAATCGTTCATGTCGATGTATACTAGGTCTCTAACTATAACACTATTAACTCATACATGTCCCCGAATACGAGTCAAAGATGTCACACGATATTTACAAACATTCTATAGTTGAAAACCATAACAATTTGACTCCTTTAAATTTTTTTCTAATTTAATTCTTAAAATAAAATCATAAAGTCACGTAAAATCATAATATAATATTTAAACATAAAAGTCGATATTAGTTTTAGGCAGTAATTTAGAAGTTCGATACTATTTCGTATCATAAAGTAAACTCCCTAAAAATTACATAATTTAAAATCTACCAATTAATTTGAAAAACGATTTAATAGAATATTATTCGTCCATACTGTTAATTAAAGCTAATACTATCCATATTAAAGTAGTTTTAACTTATCATTACAAACCTTTCTATAACTAATCTATCAGAGAAACTAAAACATTTATAATAAACATGCCACTAAACAAGTCAAACTAACATTAAAGGATGTCTTACCGATATTGTATGTTGATATGATTCCACAAAAGCAATGCTCGATATTTTCCTTGCTCTGCAACTTTATCCTATTTAACATACTCGTGAAACATTCACATGCTAGGTTTCCACCAAGTGAGGCATATAAACTAAAGTAATTCATTTCAATACATGAAATATAGCTATTCAAATTTATAAAATTGTTGTATAAAAACATATGGACATCTAAATATGACATTTCAAACCTTTTTCTTCATACAAAAAATCGTAACCTGAAAAATATTAGCTTTCTTTCAAATCTTATAACATATATAGTCACTTTATCACATAAAAGGCATATCATGCCAAAATCATCAAACATGGTAAACTATTTGCATAAGAATGCAAGGTATGTGACTCAGACGAGTGTGCGCAATATGCACTCTAGGTGTCTCATCAATAAACAATAATATGCACTCTAAGTGCCTCAAATAATTTGCATCAACGGTGCCACATACAATGTACACAAATGTACCAATTTAGTAATCAGTAATCATTCCACCTCATGGCATG